ACCATTCAAGAAATGGAAGCAGTATTCAAAAAGTTTAATATTCAAGTTAGAATTTTCAATTTTGTAAATGAAGTTATTTATAAATATGAACCAGAAAAAAGAAACCACCATATAAAAACCTTTTACGCAATGGTGAAGAATAACCATATTTACACATTAAACCATGATTTAAGTAAGATACAACAGAAGCAATTAATAACAAAACTACCCACTATAAAGGCACACACTGATTATTATATAAATGAAAGAGAAGAACCGCCACAATACAAAATGATTAAATGTATAGATGATATACTTAAAATTAAAACTGATGATAAAACAAAGGAAATATATTTAGTGCCTGAAAATAACAATTTGGCAGAATTATTATTCCAGTTGTTGAATATTGGATATGAACCCAGAATTAAATACACAGGTATTATTGATGAAATAAGATTAAGATTGAACAAGATAACATATATCATAAAAACTCAAAATTTAATTAAATCTTCCGGTGATGGATGGATTGCAGTTAGCAATGAAACTACATACAACAATATGAACAAAGCAATGTTTAATTTCAATAAATCCTTATTCATGTCATCGCATAAATCCTTTTATAACGACATTGATATTAAAATATTAAATGAAACAAGAAGTATAGCACCTTCGGGTTTATTATCGAGTAATATTAATTTAGTTTATAAAACAGAAATAGATGTAAATAAAGCATTTACTAAAGGTTTTTTAAATATTAGGGAAATACCAGTATTTAACCAGTTTGACCATTGGAAAAAATACAACGATGAAATTAAAATAGATGAACTCCATGAATTAACTTTATATTATGTTGAAACTATAGATACAAATGTAAGACCATTAAAAACAACAATGGACAGCATTAAGGAACTAATAGAGAAAAATCAACACACCAAGCAGATGATATATTCTATTGCATATAGTAAAGGTATTGACGTTGCTACTTATATAGAATTTCGTAAAACACATGATTTAAGTTTGTTTTTAAATCCTGATGAATTAAAACAAGCAATTAGAAACATTGTAATAAGTGGTAATCACAACTTATTTTTCAACAAAAAATATAATCTAGTATATGGCAAGTTTTTAAAGGAATTCATCAATGAGAATAAGACACACAAAATCAATATTTTTATATTATAAACAACCTTCATTTATTCATAAGGTTGAATATACAAATATTATTAATGAACTTTTACAAACAAATATAGATGAACATGACGAAGCATTAGATAAACTAATTAAAAAGTTAATAGCAAATGTAAATTTTGGATTATTAGAAAAAGGAGGTGCTACAGCACATCAAAGTATTTTATTTAAAAGTATTGATGAAGCAGTCCATTATCAAACAGAATACGGAGGTAAAATTAATAAGTTATCGCATATTATAAGCGAATATCCCGAAATGATAACCGAATATGACGACGAAGGAGGCGCAACTACAACATATTATGGATTTGATGAGGATGAATGGGATGTAAAGGCATCATATTATATATTGAATTTGAAGGATAAGGCAGTATTAAGAAACGGATATCGATATATTAAAGAATTACTTTTACAACATCACAATTTTAAAATGAACCAAGACTTTAAGACATTAATAACTAATAATATTAATGTATATAGTGTAAAAACAGATGCTTTTGTAATTGATACATGCAATGAAGAAAAAACAAAGCAATTATTAGAATTTCATGATGATATAGGAGGTTGGAAAGTTTCAAAGCAGAGAGACGAAATTAATTTACCTACAGTAAAATTTAACGTTGTAAATAATGAATTAATAAAAATACCAGTTTATGAAAGTAAAACTATTGATATTAAAGATGAATACGACACTGATAACATTATAGAGATTGTTAAACAGAATAATCCTATTATGATCAGAGGTGAACTACCGGGCACAGGAAAATCATATATATGTCAAAAAATGGTTGATAAAAATAATAAGGTAATTTTTATTTGTCCTACTAATAAACTATTACAGGCATTTGAAGGAGAAGCAATGACGATAAATAAATTCTTTGGTATTAATTATGGAGATGCTAAATTAGAACCATTTGATTTTACAGAATTTGATGTAATAGTATTTGATGAAATCTATTTTAGTAATTTAAATATATACTGGAGAATAAAACAATTTGTAGAACAGAATAAGCACAACAAAATTATAATAGCAACAGGAGACACCAAGCAATTAAAACCAGTGCAAGAAATAACAAATACTCAAGACTATGAATTATACACTGACAATATTATAGATAATATTTTTACACATAATATAATATTGAAAGAATGTAAGAGACTTAACACACAGGAAGATAAGGATAAACTCAAGAATATAAAATATGATATTTTTATTAATAAATTACCAATTAAAACTATTATTGAAAAATATTTTGAATACACCACAGACATAAGTAGTTCCAAAAACAACATAGCATTTTTAAATACAACTTGTAAAAATGTATCAAATGAAATTAGAAAATTAGAAAATAGAAAAGATGAATATGAAGTAGGAGAATTTTTAATTTGTAGAGAATATACTAAAACTAAAACATCAGTTTTTAATGTAAATTTCAAATATAAAATAGTTCATATTGGAAGTGATGGAATATTTACATTAAAAAATGTAAAAACCGAAATTTTACAATCCGTAGAAATTGCTAAAATAAGAAGCAATTTTATATTTTCTTCTTGCTCTACATGTCATTCTACTCAAGGTAGTAGCATTGATGACACCATAACAATTTTTGATTATAATCATTTTTGGTAAAGAATTATCCAGAATGGATTTTTACAGCGGTAACACGTGCTCGTGATTTAAACAAAGTCAAATTTTACAAATACACAAAGGATGTTGGTGATGTATTTAATCAAAAATGTATTATGAGTTATTTTGAAAGGAAAATTTTGAATTATAAGGAACAAGACAGGAAAGCAAAAAGAAGCATACCTAGAGAAGGTTATGTAAATACTCAATGGTTTCTAGATAATATAAATAATCAATGTAATTACTGCGGATGTGGTTTTACTATTGATATGAAAAATGGTAATATCATTACAAATCTAACAGCACAACGAAAAGATAATGAATTAACTCATACAATAGAAAATATCATCCCATTTTGTAAATTATGCAATTGTAGTTGTAAATGATTATAATTTTTAATTTAATTATGTTAATATAATTTTAATTTTAATTTATTAATTTAATTTTAATTTAAAATTAAATTTCTTGTAAAAAGTATTTAAAGAAATATTACCTATATATATTATATAGCGAGATGATGAAAACCAAAATCAATAGTTATATCAATAAAAAATGCTATGATTGTTGCCACTTCAAAAAGGAAAATATAGAATTGTATAAACTGAATTTACATAACGGAATAGTGAATAATATTATTGATTATGCATTGGGCGAAGAAGATGTATGTAGAACTTGTAGAAGATGGCGACGATATCAAAATATAATAGAAAATATTTTGGAGATTAAAAAAATAGATAAAAGAAACGTAGAAGATGAAATTTTAATATTTTTAACCGTGTATGGAAGACCACCTTATAGTTATGTTAGAATATTTCTAAAAATCAGTAAGAAAAATATAAAATGATTGAAAGTATATTATGGATGTTGACTTATCATAGTAGGGAAGGTTTTGATGTAAAAGAAGACATTAAAACATATATCGAAAGTAAAAAGTTTAATATTAAAAATACAGTGAGAGATATTAATATTATTTTAAAAATAATGCATGAAAGACGTACGATATATATACAACTTAGTAGTCATCAATTAAATTATTATCCTGAACTTAAATTATGAAATTTTATCTACATAACCTAATTTAATTTTAATTTATTAATTTAATTTTAATTTAAAATTAAAATTCTTGTAAAAGTATTTAAAGAAATATTTTATAATACTATTATATAGTGTGATGAGTGATACAGTCCATGATGCTAAAAATATATTGAAAAAAGTTTATGAGTTATAAATGTGAAGACTGCGAAATGCTAAAATTACCAATTGAACAGGGTTTTACAAATGGCGTTTGTAATTATATTTGTCAATATATGATATGCAATAATTGTAATAGAATTATAAACAAAATTGATGATATGAATAACAAAGATATTGATATTAGAAATAATGAAACTATTGATGATGATTTAGAAATATTTGTGTTTATTGAAATGAATAATTTCTTAACTATAGAAGGGTTTGATAATTTATTATATGAGGGCGATGATGAAGGAAACGCTAATGACTTTATTTTTAAGTATTATAGCATGGTAAAAAGATTATACAATATGTCTTCTAGCATTAAACGTTTAAAATATGAAACATTGAATGATAATGACCTTGATTTTTTACATGAGGTTTTAAATGATCGGTATAAAACTCACGAACTTAGATATACAATAACACGTGCAATTGGAATAATGGGAATGTTTAGAAAACAAATAAGAAGTAATATTTATAATGAAACAACGTGTGATAAAATAATAGAAAGAATTAAGAAAGAATGGTGCCCGTAAAAAACGAATGAACCAGACCTTGCCCATAATATGTCTACAAAATTTGTGATAACATTTATTGTATAACAATTTATCATAATTTTTGGAATAATATTTTTGATTTTTTTATTTTTTTGTAAAATTTTTATTTTTTTTTGTAAAATTTATTTTTTAAAATTTATTTTTTAAAATTTATTTTTTAATTTTTTGTAAAGTTTATTTTTTAATTTTTTGTAAAATTTATTTTTTAGTTTTTTGTAAAATTTATTTTTTAAAAGTTATTTTTTAAAATTTATTTTTTAAATTTATTTTTTAAAATATGGATGAACTTACTAGGAAATTACCTGCTTTAAAATGTTGATTTTTGAAAATGTGCTGTTTGAGGTGCTGTTTTAAAATGTTGCTAAAAGTGTGGGGAGGACCCTAGGTTTTTTTATAGAAAAAAGACGGGCAAGGTCTGGTCTAACTGCAAGCCGCTACAACTCCAACATCCGGGCTTACGAGTTCTTTCACAATGCGGAAGACCACTCCAAAGGCGTCCGCGGTTATTTCAGCCCCCTCATGGAAGTGACCAAATGTCACCAAGATGTGCAGGTGGACCAGCGCGGGCAACAGAACTACGCGGCCTACACCGCCAAGTACGCCCCGAAATTCAGCGACTCGATGGAGGAAGAGCTGCTCAACGACGATGCGGACGCGAACTCCATCGCGGCCTCCGTTCTCTCCCGCTACAAGCCCTGCGTCCCGGAGATGGCCCTGCAGCTCTTTGGCTCCGTCTTCCGCCAGTGGCACATTGGCACCCGCAGCGGAGGGCGGCGGGCGCTGAACGTCCCAACGCCCGACGTCGACCCCGCGCCTAAGGTTGTAGAGCTCTACGAAAACAGCGCCTGGAGAGCTGACAACATGACGTTGCTGGACTACCTGCGGAAGACTAACGACCAGGGCGAGATTGCCGGCTGGCTCAAGGCGCAATGGCGATCCGCGGGGCAGCCGGACACTTTACAGAACTTCGCGAACGCCTACCGCCCGCAAGGTGAGAAGGTGGTTGCTTGCGGAGTAGGCTCGCGACTCCGCGACAAGTTCTATGGCCAACGGCTGCTCTTGAATGTGCCTTTCCGGACCCGATCTGCTTTGCTACTGCCGGAAGTTGCAGAGCGCGTGCCGCCCGCTGACCGCTGGCTGGCCACGTGCGTTTTCTGTCCCCAAGCCGAGGCAAGGCAAGTCTGGGACAGCGAGGCCGCCGTCGAGGAAGACATGCTGCTGGAAGGCCACGGACGCTTGCACAGGCAAGAAGTCCTGGGCTACTTCCGTGCGCAAAGCGCGCTGGTGCGCCAGTACATGTCCGGCGCCTTGCAAAAGCCAGCGCCGCGCCCAGCGGTCACACGGCCCGGCCGGACGCACTTCCTGCCCATCCAGAACAGGTATGCGGAGCTCATTGCGACGGGGGCCAAGACTGTTGAGGTTGCCGCGCTAGTCAAGGCCGGCGACCGACTTCGCCTTGGCCCGGTCCACTGCAAGGTCACTGAGATCAACAACTACACCTCCTTCGAAGAGATGCTGCGCAGCACACCCTGGCAAGCGGCAGTCCCCGACGTCAGCACCTTGCAGGAGGCCTTGGAAGTCTACCACAGCTTCGCCAACTACGAGGACCTGGCCCAACGCTGCGGCGTCCTAGCCTTCCACGTGCAGCTTGAGGAGACCAACCCCGAGGCGCCCGCCTGGAACGCCGAACAGGGCCGGTGGCTGCGGCTCATGGAAGAAGACCTTGCGCGGGCGGCAGCAGTGCACTTTGCCAGCACGGAAGCGGAAGCGGACGCGGCCCGGGCAAAGACTTGGCAGTGCAACCGCATCCGTGCTCTGGAGGGGCCGCCAGGCACGGGCAAGACCACCGTCGCCAAGGAGCTCGTGGAGCAAGCTGTCGGCCAAGGGCTTCGGGTGCTGTGGACTGTCTACACGGCGCAGCTGGCCTCGCGGATGCGGCAAGAGTTCGGCGGCGGTGTAGACGTGGACACCTGCCATGCGGCGCTGGGCCTGGACCAGGAGATTGCGGAATGCGGCCTAAACCTTGCCTGCTACGACCTTGTGATTCTCGACGAGTTCAGCCAGCTGGAGGCTCGCCACTTTGCTCACGCCGTCCACCTGCACGATGCAGTGGACAAGACGCCGGCCTTCGGTTTGCTTGGGGATCGCCGGCAAATGGCCGGCTACGGGACAGAGCGCCCGTGGCACTCGCCGCTTTGGCGGGCAGCCGTGCACCAAACCCAGCTTCACGTCCTGTTTCGCTGCAAGGACGAGAAGTTCCGGCGCGTCTTGGGCGCCTTGCGGACTGCCAAGCCAACCGCCACGGGGCCACGCGGCAGCGTCAGCGTCGCAGACATCGTCCGCGGCCGCCGGGCGTGGAGGGGTGGGCAGCCCAGGACAGCGGACATCGCCCGCTTGCTGCGCGACCACTCAGACACAACGCTCTTGGCCATTACCCGCCGAGGCGCGGCAACCTTCAACAACCTGGCCGTTCAAGCCATTTTCTCGGGCCGTCGCCCAGTGGCCACACTGGATGCGGATGTCGAGTCCAACCCGGAGAACTACACCGCGACAGGCCAGCTGAAGCCCGCGAAGGACCTGATTCCCACGCGCCTGGCGGTCTTCGAGGGCATGGCCATCTACACGACCCTGAACGTGGACAAGGCCCGCGACTTTGTGAACGGGATGAAGGCCTTCGTCGAATCTTACGACCGCGCAGCTTGCGCGCTGATCGCAGTCGCGGTCACTGGCCACCGCGCGAGCGGAGGCAAGCTTGGGCCCCCGCGCCTTCCACCCCGTCAAAGCTGGCTACGGCAACACCGTACTCAAGGTGGCCGGCGCGGAGCTTCCCCACGTAGTCTTATGGCTTGATGTGGCCAACATCCCTGGAGCTGCGTACACCGGCATGAGCCGCGTAGCTCGAGGGGACGATTTGTTGTTCGGAGGGCAGCTGACCCCAGAACATTTTTGCCCGGCTCTGTAAACACAGGAGCTTCTGCCTTGGCGAGGAAAAAAGAAGCTGTGCGGTTTGGCCCTGCGAGCGTGAGTCGCAGCGCAAGAAGTCATTGCCTTGCCGACCAGGCGCCGCCGATGCCGCGCCATCCCAGACGCGCAAACAAGGACCTGCCGCGCCCGGATTTTTCGGGGCTTCGAAGCAGCATTTTTTTAATTCGGGATTGTCAAAGAAAGGGACGAGCTAATGTTAAAGAGCTTTATAAGGAGCTTTATAACAAGCTTTACAAGAAGCGTTATAAGGAGCTTTATAAGAAGCTTTATAAGAAGCTTTCTAAGAAGCTATAAGGAGCTTTATAAGAAGCCATATAAGAAGCTTTATAAGAATCTTTACAAGAAGCTTTATAAGAAGCTTTATAAGAAGCTTTATAAGAAGCTTTATAAGAAGCTTTATAAGAAGCTTTATAAGAAGCTTTGTAAGCTTTATAAGAAGCTTTTAAGAAGCTTTATAAGAAGCTTTTATAAGAAGCTTTATAAGAAGCTTTATAAGGAGCTTTACAAGAAGCTTTATAAGAAGCTTTATAAGAAGCTTTATAAGAAGGCTTTATAACGAGCTTTGTAAGAAGCTTTACAAGAAGCTTTAAGAAGCTTTAAGAAGCTTTATAAGAAGCTTCATAAGAAGCTTTAAAAGAAGCTTTTTCAGAAGCTTTCTTAGAAGCTTTATAAGAAGCTTTATAAGAAGCTTTATAAGAAGCTTTATAAGGAGCTTTATAAGAAGCTTTCTAAGAAGCTTTTTAAGAAGGAAGCTTTATAAGAAGCTTTATAAGAAGCTTTCATAAGGAGCTTGAAAAGATTTATAAGAAGCTTTATAAGGAGCTTTATAAGAAGCTTTCTAAGAAGCTTTATAAGAAGCTTTATAAGAAGCTTTTTCAGAAGCTGCATAAGAAGCTTTATAAGAAGCTTTATAAGGAGCTTTATAAGAAGCTTAAGCTTTATAAGGAGCTTTATAAGGAGCTTTATAAGAAGAAGCTTTATAAGAAGCTTTATAAAAAGCTTTATAAGAAGCTTTATAAGAAGCTTTATAAGAAGCTTCATAAGAAGCTTCATAAGAAGCTTTATAAGAAGCTTTATAAGAAGCTTTATAAGAAGCTTTATAAGAAGCTTTATAAGGAGCTTTATAAGAAGCTTTCTAAGAAGCTTTATAAGAAGCTTTATAAGAGCTTATCAAGGTTCTTTACTTCGGGATCGTCAGGCTCCCAAGATTTGAAATCGGAGGGTTTGGGGTTACTCAATATTAGTAGCTCTGCGGCTCTGAGCAGGCTAGGGTAAGTCCTGTTGAAGCTCGGAGATCCAGCGGGTCTCCTTGCAAAAGGGACTTGATAGCGGAGCCAAGCTCGGTCGTTGAACAGACCCCTGATTGAAGCCGCCCAGACTTCTTCCCGCCTTGCCTCCAGCGGGCGCCGGACAGGGCCCCGACAGGCTTCCGAACAGGCCTCCGGGCGCGTGTCCTGGGAGCGATTGACGGACAAAGAAAGTTGAGCGGGGCTAGTCGTCAATCAGTTGGGGGGCGACCGTTCGTGTCTTAAGCTGTGGGTTAACTTTTAACTTGCGTCGGCATGCCCCGTCGTTTCCAAGTTCGGAGGCGTCTTGGGCTGTGGGTTAACTTCAACCTGCGTCGGCTTGCCCCGTCGTTTCCAAGTTCGGAGGCCGAGAATGCGCTTGTCGCGATTTGACCTCGGCCAACTTTCAACTGCTGCGATTTGCCAGGAATCATTTCTGATTTCCTCAAAGGCCAAAACTGTGTCGAAAGTTGGGCTAACATGACATGTCCCCGCGCATTTGAAACTAGATGTTCTATCTGACCGCACCTTGTTCGGCCCTATAGGCGAAGCCGTCATTTCCAAAAATGTCGAAAACACGTGACAGCGCTAGTGTTTTCTTGGGGGGCCCGCCTAGGGCGCGCTATAGCTCTTGCGGGAATAGCCCGAATTGGCCTAGGCAAGCCTCTAACATCTGCGCAAAGCGCATTTTTTGCGACTTCTTCCGTTCTCAGTTGGCTTGAAAACAAGGGCTTTTTCTTCACTTCGCCGTGTTCTCGCGATGAATGTTTTGGGTCCCCCGCCAGGGCCAAAAAATCAAGTTTGGGGCTCCGAAAAGTTGCCCGGCGGTTCTCGAGCTTTCGATTTGGGGCCGATCGCTTGCCCTGTCAAAAACAGTGAACAGTCCTAGCGTTTCCCTGCCCTTTGGCCCCCGCCGTCGCTGCCCTTTCGTCCGAAAACTCTGTTTTTTGACCCGAAAACGGGGCTCCCATAGGGGTCCGTGCCTTTTGAGGGCTTTCCGCAAACCTGGCTGCGAAACGCTAGGCTCTGGCATCGAAAATCTAGCAAAAAAAAGGCTGCTATTGGCTGGCAACAAGCACATTGAGCGCGTGTTTTCCCCGGGAGGCAATCTAAAAAATTCGTTCCCCGGGGTCTTCCGAAAAAATCCTAAACCCTAAACTTTTGGTAGAAAAAATCGAAAACGCGAATTTTCGATGCCGAAACCTAGCGTTTTGCTAGCAAAAAACTGCACGACGACCAAAACCGCCCGCCCGTAGCGGCTGAGCCAGGCCTGAGGCCAGAACTCAGAAAAAAAATCGCGAGAGTCCAGTTTAAGGGCATGCGGCCCTTCCTTCGCGCCCGCGATCAATCGCGCGGAGAACGCGCCGCAGTCCATCCCCGTGACGGACCGCGACGACGTCCAACGGCGACGGCGTTGGAGCGATCCCCGCCGGGAGCGCCCCTCGTCCGCCGCCTCCGCGCGAAAGAGGCACGGGCCCCTCGCGGGTCGGTGGGGGGAACCCCTTCTGACGCGGCTCGCCCCCCCAACCGAGCGTCCTCCATCCAGAACTCGGAACGAGTTGAGCGATCCGAGTTCCGAACTTCTTCGGAACCGCCATCCCCGCAAGGGCGTGGGTTTTTCACCGTGTTCTGGCCGCCGCCCGCCCGGAGCGCCGACCTGCCCGCGATCCGCCTGAGAAACTCCCGAGGAACACACTCGAGAGCTGCGGGGGCGCCACGCCGCGTTCGGACGACGGCTCAGCCGACTACTGGCCCACGGCGAAGGCCGACGCCGCCAAAGCGACGCCGGTCAGGCCTCACGCCCTCCTCCCGGACTCTCGGGGGAGTATGAGTTTAGCCTCGACCTTGACAAAGGTCGAGGTGCGTGAGGGCTGAGAAGCCTCAGACCACGGTCCATTACCATCGCCGCCGCACGCGCGCGCGACCACGCGCGATCGGATTCCTCCAGTCTCGATCCCGGAGGATACGTCGAAAGGAAGGTCCGTCGCACGAGGCGCGCCGCGGCCGCAGCGAATAGCCGCCGACGTCCTGTTGAAGGACGGCAGCGGCGCGAGGGACACGGTCAAGAGGCTTCAGGGGCGGAGGTCTCCCGTCGTGGACGCGACTCCCGACGAAGATCCCTCTTCCCCCGTTTCACGCCCTCCCGGCACGTTGGTGCTTCTGCACCTGGGCCTCCCGGAGTTCTGGCACTTCATGCCCGAAGTTCACACTTTAAGACGGTGAACTTCGAGCGATCGTGCGCCGCCGGGGGCCTGGACTCACGTACCCGCGTTGCGGCGTCCCTCAGGGGTGGGCGAGCCGACCGCCACCCCGTCTCAGGGCCGTCCCCGCCGCGCAACGGAGACTTACGCCTGCGGGCCGCCTGCCCAGGCGACGGTTTTTAGTTCCCCCGGAGCACCCCTTCCCGGCCGCGCCCGAACCGAGCGCGGAGACACCTCATCGAAGCGCGCTTTCCTTCACGGAAGCAGGACCGCGCGACGAGGCACCGCGTGTTCGGGTTCCGGGTGGGTCTTCGCGCCGATCGCGCGCGTCTTCGACCGCAACCCAGTCTCTATCCCCTCGGCCCGCCAGGGCGGGCGTTAAGGAAGGAGAGAAGGTCCGTCGAGTCGACGCGCAATCGACTTGGCCCGCGCCGCGCGCCGACGACGCAGCTCGCGCGGAGCGCGCGGCGATCCCTCGGTCGTAGATCCCAGTCACGACGTCAAGATCACGCGCGCGTCGCCGCTCCCTCGGTCACGAATCGAGAGGGCCACGGGGATGCTCTCCCCCCGGTCGTGACGTCAGGAGCGCGCTTGCGCGCGACGTTCCCTCGGTCCTGAGTTGGGGGGGCCCGACGAGCTCGCCCCCCAGTCAAGACGTCAAGAACGCGCGCGCACGCGGCTGCGTGCGCCGGTCGCCGACGCCCCCTTGAACAACGCGCGGAAGACCCCGAAGAGTCCCCCGCCGCGCCCTCAAGGACGTCGACGGCTCGCGCGCTCGCGCGCGCGTCCTCTCGGTCGTGTCCTGAGGGAGGGCATCCGCGTGCTCGCCTCCCCTGTCACAACGTCAAGAACGCGCGCGCAGCGCGCGCAGAGGCACCCCCTCAGACCGCAGATGAGATACCCAGAGGACCTGGGTCCCATCGCGCGTCTTCAGGGATGTCTCGCCGCAGGTCGTCCCCTTGACCAGCGGACGAGGGAGTTCCAGAGGAACCCCCCGTCATGGTCTCAAAGACGACAAGCGGGCGCAAAAAGTGCGGGCCTGCTCCCTGTATAGGGCAGGTTGGCGAAAGAGGGCGGAGCCCTTTAAGAACCCTTGGCAGGACCTGGTTTTTAGTTCCCCCCCTCAGGGCCTCCGCCGGCCAGGCTCCGACGAGGCTTCTTCTGGACCTACAGGGTTTCCCAGCCTACAGGGTGTCCTGAAAAAGGGTTTCCTCCTGCATTGCGCCGTATGAACAGTTTAGTGGCTGGCCAAAGAAGAGGCTCCGAGCAGGGCTGGGACGGCTAAGAACAGCTTTTGGAGCTGGGCCAGCCCGGGACAGAGCCAAGGCATTTCCTAAGACCTTTCCCTTCCCAAAAGAAGGAATCAGAAGAAGAGCCCAAGGAGGGGCGAACCAAATCGGAAACACTGATACATTAGGGTTTAAATCTCCATT